TTTTTTTTTGCAGAACCTGGGATTGAACTCAGGTCCTTTAGCTTGCCAGGGAAGCACTTATTCCACTGAGCCATCTCCCCAGTCCACGCCCAGTCTTAATGAGACCCTATCTCAACATAAAAAGTTTTAAATAGGCTGGGAATACAGCCAGGAGGAAGGTTCTAAATTCAACCCCCAGAACTCCAGGACCACCTCCCCTCTACACAAATTCACAAATTCACACCCAGTCTTAATGAGACCCTATCTCAATATAAAAAGTTTTAAATAGGCTGGGAATACAGCTACAGGAGGAAGATTCTAAATTCAACCCCCAGAACTCCAGGACCCCCTCCCCTCTACACACACACACACACACACACACACACACACACACACACACACACGAGAGCTGAGAGCTGGGTGTAGTACCATACACCCGTAACCCCCAACACTAGAGAGGCTGAGGCAGGAGGATTGTCATGAGCTCGAGGCCAGCCTGGGCTACAAAGTGAGATCCTGCCTCAAAACAAAACAACCCAATATTTAATTCTACTCAGAACCATCAATCTAATATACCCAAGCATGACAAAAGCAGTCACAGGAAAGTAAAAGCTACTAAAACAGGTTTAAATCACCAAAGCAATATACTGATTATACTATATGCTTTCCCCTTACTCATCTTATTAATCTTCTTGAAACCCCAACTCTATCTAGAGACTGCATCTAGAATTCATTTGCCCATATTCCATCTCACCCCAGAAAGAGTGGCTGTAATCCAGAAATCAACCAGTAAGTAACAAATGCTGGAAGGGTTTTGGGGAAAAAGGAACCCTTCTCCAATGTTGCGGAGGGTGCAGACTGGTGTAATACTGCAAATCAGTGTGGAGATTCCTCAAAAAAAAAAAAAAAAAAAAAAAAAAATAGGACTAGAGGTTCCATTTGACCCAGTTATGCCCCTCTTAGTATCTTCCTGAAAATTAAAAGCATCACACCACAGTGACATATGCACAACCATATTTGTATTAGTTTATAATAACTCAGACTTGAAACACCCCAAATGTCCATCCACCAATGAATGGATAAAGAAGATCTGAGGGTTTTTTTATACAATGGAGTACTATTCTGCCATAAAGGAGGATAAGCTGGAGACATTTACAGTTAATGGATGCACTTTGAGACTATTGTTTGTTTTTTGGGGTTTTTTTTGTAGTACCAGGGATCAAACTCAGGACCTTGTGCTTGCCAGCCAGGTGCTTATGCCGCCAAGCTATTTTCCCAGCCCTAAGAGACCACTCTCTTAAGTGAAATAAATCAAATACACATGTTTAAGTACCATTGTTTTGTGAGAAGCCAAAAGCGTAAACAAGGGCTAAAACATATCGTAGATATAGTGAAATGGGAAGAAAAGTTCAAATGGAAAGGGGAGGGTTAGGGATATAGCTCAGTGGAATAAGCACCTATCTGGCAAGCACAAGGTCCCAAGTTTGATCCCCAATACTGCAAAAAAAAAGGAAGGTAAACAAGGGAAGAAGGAAGGTGAAAGGAAAGAACTGACAAGAAAAAAAAAAAAA